TTTTTCTTTTTGCTTATGTGGTGCTGAGGAATCGAACCCAGGGCCTCATGCATACAAGGCAAGTGCTCTACCACTGAGCCACCTTCCCAGCCCCTTTGTCGTGTATATTTAAGCCATCAATAAATACTTTTCCACAGTACAATCTTCTAATAAATATTGCACTTAATTTTACTTATATTTGCTAATAAATTATAAAGGTTTTATGAAGAAATCAGAAATAGCAGTGGAGCTTAGGTATTTTTCTGTGATATATGCCAACTGTCAGCTTGTAGACTCTGAGTGTGTACCTTGCTCCTTATTGGGCAGGTAGAGGGCTCTAACTCTTAGGCTGGGCTCTGGACTAGAATTTGGAGCACCAGGAGCTACCAACACACAGTGCTGGCTGGATTTGTCCGTGTCCTGAGGGCAGTGCTGGCCACAGCACAGCTTGGTGCTATGTAGAGATACCCAGCACTCATGTAAGGAGAAGCTGGGAGGAGAGGTGGGAAGGCCGCCAGTCAGCTTGGGCTAGTGCTGGGACCGAGAAGCAGGAAAGAATGCTGCCTCTGCCGGGCACTGGTGGCTCACTGTGATCCTAGCTACTCAGGAGGCTGAGATCTGAGGATCGCGGTTCAAAGCCAGCCCGGGCAGGAAAAGTCCATGAGACTCTTATCTCCAATAAACCACTCAGAAAGCTGGAAGTGGCGCTGTGGCTCAAGTGGTAGAGCTCTAGCCTTGAGCTGAAGAGCTGAGGGACAACACCCAGGCCCAGAGTTCAAGCCCCACGACCGACCAAAAAGAAAAAAGGAAAAAAAGAATACTGTCTCCAAAGACCTGAGTGTTGAGATGCTCCTTCCTCAGCCTACCAGAAGCCAGGATTACAGGTGTGGGCCACCAGGCCCAGATGGTATTTTCCCTCAAAGTATATTTGTTCTGATTTTTTTTCCAGATTATACTGACCTGGCCATGAGTACTGTGAAACAGACGCAAGCCATTCCGTACACCGGGCCCTTTAATCTGCTTTATTACCAGCTACAGAAATTGACAGGCATGTCTGCTTACTTATAATCGTTCCTTCTCTCTCCCTGTCTCTCAGGTCTCACTCTGTAGAGACTGCTTTAAACTTGTGATCCTCTTGTCTCGGCTTCAGAAGTGTTGAGAGTGGAGGTGTACATCATCATGTACTTTGCCTTCCCCTTTTTAGTACACTACTTCTATTTCTATGAGTAGATATTGTTTAATTTTGTAATTGTCTCCAAATTTTATTTGCACTTTACATCTTATTATCATCTTGTTATCATCTTTAGGTGAAGTTTTTTAAAAATATGCTCATAGATTATTTATTTATTTTTGGTCGGTCATGGGGCTTGAACTCTGGGCCTGGGCACTGTCCCTGAGCTCTTTAGCTCAAGGCTAGCGTTCTACTACTTGAGCCACAGTGCCTCTTCTGGTTTTCTGGTAGTTAATTGGAGATGAGTCTCACAGACTTCCCTGCCTGGGCTGTCTGTGAACCGTGATCCTCCGATGTCAGCCTCCTGAGTAGCGAGGATGACAGATGGGAGCCACTGTGCCTGGATAGATTTTTTTTTCAATTCCACAATATCTCTTACCTTTAATCTACTTAGTCAGGAAAACACTAGTCGTCTTTGCTGCTTGAGTCTGAGATCTGTTTAATTGAGTGCGCCTGACATTTTTAGCTGTTGTTTTCTTTGTCCAATGGAAATGGCTTTTCTGATTCCATTAGCACCTGCCTATACAACAGGTTTTGTAAGAGCTTCTTCTGGCCATTGGCCAGAGGCCAGGAAGAGAATGAACTCATTCATTCAATCTGTTCTCACCATTTTGTGTGAAAGGGTTTGTATATTCAACATGAATAGTGGCAGGGCCTAAAAAATGTGGTATGTTCCTAATAAATCAAGAACAGGTCAGATTATAATGCTTCCTGTTTATGGTGTTCTTCATTGTTCACGCAGTATAGCAAGGGCATGACACAAACAGTAGACTGAAGATGTATTTTCCTCTCACATTGGTAGTACAATCATGGGTCACATACAGGAGTTAGTGAAATATGTCAATAATGATCCTTGATTATTGAGTAGATACCAGGAAGACCAGTGAACTCTGCTCTTCAATAGTAGATCTTCCTGGGCAATGCTAGAAGCCAGAGATAGCGATCACTGTGAAAACAGTTGAAACCTTCTTTATACTAGGTGCTAGTGGAAGGTCAGATCTCTTGTGTCAGTGCAGGTGGTTGAATAGCTCTTAAGTGTGCTACTGATAGAATTGTGTGTGTGTGTGTGTGCATGTGCATGCACACGCGTGCACACTGGTTCTAGAACTTGAACTCAGGGCCTGGGCACTCTTTCTGAACTTCTTTTGCTCAAGGCTAGTGCTGTATCACTTGAGCCACAGTTCTACTTCTGGCTTTCTGGTAGTTTATTGGAGATAAGTCTCACAAAGTTTCCTGCACAGGCTGGCTTCAAACTACAATCTTCACATCAGCCTCCTGAGTATGATAGAATTTTTAATGTCCAAAGTAAATCCTACTCAGTAAATCCTACCTAGTGATAGGAACTTTTACAATTAATGTGTTGGGATCGTTTAGTATAAGCAACGAACATAAAACTTAGCTGTTTGATTATATAAAAGTGAGTTTTTATTGTTTCTATTATGTAGCAGGTTGATATCAGCTTTCTATAAACAAATGTCTCTAGAAGTTTATAAGATGGTTATGCAAATATTAAAATTATTTTGTTTGTTTCAGGTGATGTAGAAGAGTTAGAAATTCAAGAAAAGCCTGCTCTGAAAGTGTTCAAAAATATTACTGTGGTTCAGGAGCCGGGCATGGTGGTCCTGGAGGTGAGAGGGGGGGTGTTCCTAAGCCAGGAGCACGCACTCCAAAGAGTGGAAGATACATAACCCTCAGAAGATATATGTGTCTGTCTTTTCTTCTCAAGATGAATTTATGTAATTTCCTATGTAGTTCTTGGAGCAAAGAAACCATTGGTGAATTGTGGCTCCATCTTAGTTTGTGTAATAAGGTAAGTTATCATAGAAGTCTCTGTGGATGTAGCCAGCTCAGGGTATCTCTTATTATATGGGAAAGCCCTAAAATACTGAATGTAAAATTTAATTCTGTTAAATATAAAACCACATAAACTTTATAGAGTGCTCCTTACAAGAGTGTTATTTTGAAAACTCAAACAATAAAGTGACTCAACTCCCAAAAGGTTAGAAATGCTTGATTTAGGTAAAACCACAGATGCAGAAGCACCGGGTTGTGAGCATATTGCAGTGTCTAGCACGTGCTCCACCCTGGCCCCTCCAGCCGCTGGTATGTAAGCACATGCACGTGCCACCTCTCACCACACTACCTGTGCCACTAAGTTTGGCTCTCTCAGGTTTGCTGGTCCTGAGTGCCCGCCTGGGGAGCGGCTGGTCCGCATCAGTGTGGTGTGTGTGTGAACTTCCCAGGCATCTGACCAGCCGCTTTGTAAATAAAAAATCAGCTGCCATTGCCAGTTCCACTACAGTTCTATACGTGAGCCTAAATTTGAATCAGAGCTGAAACTTAACTAAAGGAAACGTGAAGTCACACACAGTAGTGGGTAAAAGGTCAATGTCACATAGAGGATATATTAAGAGACATATTACTCTTGTTACTAAGTATGGATCTGTTTTTGTTTTTGGAGTTGCTGTGTCACGGGAGCTCTCAAGCAGGTTTGTCAGGGTTTCCCAGAGTGCACTCCCGTGCTCTCTGGAGAGTAACATGGATAGGGAAGGCCATGTTCCTGAAGTCACTTACCTGGTCCACCTGAACCTACACCTTGTCTGGAGCCCTGAGCACCTGAAAGGTAACCAGGGGATCTGAGGCTTCACCTGACAAACCAGAACATGTAAGAGTTACCTACCGTCTGGCTTGTGGGTGTAGCGTGGTGCCCGAGCTTGAGCCCAGCCTGTGCTCAGCCCCGTGTTCCATCCCAGCACGGATATATCTGTGTACATATTTATCACCTTCTTACCATGCTGCCCGTGCTACAGATATCAAGTAATTAGGAATTGGAGTTTGAGGCTAGCTGTCTTACACATGCTAACTGAGTCAATTTTCTGTTTTATAAAACAAAGTCAACAATCCTGTTTGTTATGAGAATTAAGAGACAGCATACCTGGAACCTTTTGCCACAAGCAAGTGCTAATGAGTTCAGCTTTCCTGATCAAATGAGTCCAGCATTGCTCCTTCTAGTGAGCAGGTCATCAATTTCAGTAAGAGTGGTAGACAGACAGACACAGCATCTGTCTGTCCATCTGTAGTGCCATGGCTGGACGGGTAGAGTGCAACCCGTATTAGATCTCAGCTCTGCCTTCCTAACTCTGCTTTGCTTTCCAGTGGCTGGCAAACCCTTCCAATGACATGTATGCGGACACCGTGACAACCGTGATTCTGGAAGTTCAGTCAAATCCGAAAATACGGAAAGGTGCACAATACTCCATTTGTATTCATTTGTTCTGCCATTTTCCCCGTTTCTGTAAGCTGAACAGCAGCAGTTCTAAAGCAGAACATGAAATCTCCCGAGTCTTTAAGTTGCTGTCTGCTCTTTCACACAGCTGCCCTGCCTGCCCTTGCTCCTTTACTCTAAGCCTGCACTTCTTTCTGCCTGCCATGTGTTTCTGGTAGGCAACATATGGTCAAACGAATTTTTTTTTTAAACAATTCAGCCAGTCTGTCTTTTTTTTTTTGTCATGGGCTTGAACTCTGGACCTGGGTGCTGTCCCTGTGCTCTTCAGCTCAAGGTGTGTGCTCTACTATTTGAGCCACAGCACCACTTCCAGTTTTCTGGTGGTTAATTGGACTTTACTGCCCAGGCTGGCTTTGATCCATGATCCTCAGAACAGCCTCCTGAGTAGGATTACAGGCATGAGTCACCAGCGCCCAGCTTCAAGTATGTATCTTTTGATTTGAGACCATTAACATTTAGAGTTACTATTAGATGGTATATAGTATTTCTTGCCATTTTGTTGGTTCTGTGATTCTTGATTCTTCCTTACGTCCCATTTTCATGATTGCATTTCTGTCCCTGTCCTGGGGTAAAATTTCTTTAAGGGTCTTCTGCAGCCAGCACTGGCGGGTATTTAGTGACATGCCAGGGCACCGTTAAACTCCACATTGAGAACTGGGTACAGCCGGGCACAGTGGCTCACGCCTGTCATCGCAGCTACCCAGGAGGCTGAGACCTGAGGATCACAGTTCAGAGCCAGCCCGGGCAGAAAAGTCCATGACTCCTACCTCCAATAAACCACCAGAAAACCAGAAGTGGCGCTGTGGCTCAGGTGACAGAGTACAAGCCTTGAGCACAAAGCCCAGCAATAGCACCCAAGCTCTAAGTTCAATAAAAACCCTCTGTTAAGGATGTCTTATCTTGCTGGATTGTGTAGTTTTGTAGTTGTAGATGGAAAACTAAAATAATTCAACAGACAAGTGAGTCTGAACATTCTTAATGAGTCTGAGGTTGCTGACCACGGGTAGAATACTTCCTAGATGTATGAAATGGAGTTTAATCCCCAGAAAAATGATAATATTTTTCATTAATATAATCATAGGCATTTTTTGTTTTGGCTTTCTGGTTGTTGTTTTCTTTTTCCAGTCCTGGGGTATGAACTCAGGGCCTTGGCACTGTCCCTGAGTTGCTTTTACTCAAGGCTAGCACTCTACCACTTGAGCCACAGCACCACTTCTGGCTTTTTCTGTGTATGTGGTACTGAGGAATTGAACCCAAGGCTTTATGCATGCGAGGCAAGCACTCTACCACTGAGTCACATTCCCAGCCCCCCGCTTTTTTTTATTAGTATAAATTAATTGTACAAAGAGTTTTAAGGTGACATTTGCATATATTAATGTAATATACTTTGATCAAGTTCACCCTCTTTGTATTTGTTTATTTAAAGAGTTTTTGGTGGATTTCATTGTGCTGTTTTCATGTGTATGTAATATTTACCATGTTACCCTCTCCTTTCCCACCCCCACATCTGCAGGTGCTCCCAGCATTCACCTTCACAGTCATGGCATATTAGAGATAGTAAAATGTTAAATTTACTTCACATTTTAGATAGAACAAGAGATTTCAGAACCTTGCAGCTTAAGATGTGTCTTCAGAACTCCTATGGTTGCAGTTTTGCTCATAAATGTGAAATTTGAGAGGCTTTGGAAATACAGTTCATTTTAAATGTCTTTTTATGGTTCCCTAATAAGAACATAAAGTGGTGGAAATACCTGTTTCCTTAGCGAGCTCATGATACAAAATATTTACTTGCCACTTTGAGTATTCCATAGTTAATATTCACTTATCAAATAGTAGCCTTGTAGCTGGGTGCCAGTGGCTCACATCTGTAATCGTAGCTACTCAAAAGGCTGAGATCTGAGGATCGCAGTTTGAAACCAGCCTGGGGAGGAAAGTCCCTGTGAGACTCTTTATCTCCAGTTAACCACTCAGAAACTGGAAGTAGAGCTGTGACTCCGAGTTCGCATGTAGCTTTGAGCAAAAGAGCTAGGGACAGCACCCATGCCCCAAGTTCAAGCCCCACAACAAACAAGCAAAAAGCACTTTGCTTTAAGGCTTGATTTGGGACTTAGGTAAATAGGAGTTTAGAGATTGAACTCTCACTGTCTCTCCAGGTGCCGTGCAGAAAGTTTCTAAGAAGCTAGAGATGCACGTTTACAGCAAGAGGCTGGAGATCATGCTCCAGTAAGTGCCTCCTCTCCTCGTCTGGCCCTGTGGGAAGGATGGGCGGGAGGAACACACTGCTGTGGCTCGCACCAGGCACCCTTGCTGCTCTGAGTCATGAAAGCCAGCAGTTTGTTCTGCTGTGTCCAGCCTGGCACTCTGGCTGGTTCCAAGTATGCGTGTGCCCTGCCTGGTTGGCTTGATCTCCTGAGACCAGTGTCCTGGCTGTTTCTGAGATTGGCACAGCTGAAAGCCAGTGTGCAAGAAGAATTACTTTCTATGTATGCTAAAGGGTGAATTCTTTGATAAGAAGGATTTCTTATTAAGTACTTCTCAGGTAAAAGGTGTGTAACTGTGAGATGCCTTCAAACCCAATCTCTTCCCAAACACCAGCTATTGGGCCTTTCTCCTTTCTGCCCTGGAGCCTGATTTCAGAATGGTTTTCCAAATGAAATAATGGTAAAACTGCTTCCTGCTGCATTTCTACAGTATGTGATTTCAGCATCTTGCAGAGCGCCTTGAATGCCATCCTCTCAAGTCCTTGAGTGACTGGCTGTGATGGTCAGGTTTTTGTCACTATGACAAATACCGAGTAAAACAACTTGAAGGAAGGATGTGCTTTGGGCAAGTCCTGCAGCTTCCCCTGGGAACTGTGTGGGCAGCGGTCAGCTGTCATGAGCCCTCGGGACATGGGATGGAGACAATGTCGCACAGGCTGTGTGAGACGGAAGGCCTGGGGTGCGGGGTGTGGCTCTGCTCCCGGGTGTAAGTAGTGGTGCCTGGTGGAGCCGCCCTTCCACCTGAGCCGTGGTGCCGGCGCCGGCAGGAGCTCACCGCCCCGTCTCCCCCCTGATCTGACTGACACTGCGCCGCCTCACCTCCAGCAAACACTTGCCCTGTTCAGCTATTGGGAACCGGCAGGACGAAGCTCACCCTCACCCTCACCTCCTGAGCCCGAGACACAGCATGTCTGGACTCCAGCTTCTTTCCTCAGTTGTTTAAGTAGGCAGGACTATATAGCAAGAAATACGGTCATTTCTTTAGACCAACCAACAAAGTGCATAAAAACGACACCTCTTCCCTCTTCTTTTGGATATATAAATACAAGGGTGTCCGATAGTGCCAGGTTCCCTAGCCATGTTTATTCAAGCATATTAGTGACACCGCCTGCCTGAAGGAGCAAGGGCAGTGTGGTGTCGGAGCCGCTGTCTGAGGACCGAATGTCTGCTGGGCCCCTGAGGTCTGATTGGCTGCTGCTGTCACTAACTGCGACAGTGCTGCAATGAATAATCAATCCGTCTGCACAGTGACAGGATTTCCAGTGATGTCTACATCCTCAGCACGACACAGGGCATGCGCATCAGCACTGAGTTTAACTCTGGGGAGGCGGTTGGCACATGAGGAGAACTTGGGACCCCAGAGCTGAATTCGAGTTCTAGCTCTGGTGCTTCCTGTGAGCCTTTCAGCAACTTGTTTAACGTCTCTGTGTCTTATTTTCCTTGTGTTAAAGACATCCTTACCAATCTCACCACATCTCCCTCTTCCCAAGTGTCACCCAAGTGCGGCGTCCTTGGGAAATGAGAGCTCTGGGTTTTATGAAATAAAAAAAAATCAAGGAAATGAATCCCTGGGTCTCTGAGTTAGATCTGCACGGCATCTGCTTTGGCACTTGGGTGTCTCTTCAGTGTAGCTGTAGGCTGGGCTTCATCACTCATGCCGTGCCTTGTGTTTGTCTGTTTTAAGGGACATATTTGGAGAAGACTGTGTCAGTGCAAAGGACGACTCCTTCCTGAGCGTCACAGTGGACGGGAAGACAGCCAATGTTAACTTGGATACCCGGGTATGGACCTGCTCCTGTGTTTCAGGACTTGCATAGTAATCTGTGACACACGCCTGTTTTTATTCTTGCAGTTCAGCATTTTCTTCCAGTGAGGTTTTCCCCATTCCTCTTTACATAGTGGTGTTTATTCCTATCACATGCGGAGTCTTCCCACATTTTCCCCTGGCTGCATGGTCCTCTTCCCGGGCACACGGCTCCCTGGCATGCCTTTTCCATAGCGCTAACTCGCCTTGGCCTTTCTCCAGTTGATATCCAATTGGTTCTGGATGTTTGAGGGAAGCAGCTCCTCTGTTCCGCCAGCAAGGTCCAGGTGGCTGCGTGCACTGGGGCCTGCTCTTGCTCATAGCACAGCTTGCCTAATAATTGTGAGATAAACAGGAAGGTAGCTCTTTTCCTTATAGGGGTGCATCTAGTATTTCTACTAAACGCAGTCTTTTTGTATAATCACTTGTGCAGAATGCTTTGAGAAAACACTACATCTGTTTGACCACAATAGAAAAAGAAGAATTTGAACCAGGTAATTTACCAGAGAAGTGAGTAACCAAAAACTTCTCAGAAACCCTAATAGAGGAACTGACAGGAACTGTCACTGCTGAAATGGCCCCAGAGGGAGAGATGAATCAGGGACCTTAGAAGCAGCAGCAGCAGTTACGCTCAGGTGCCACTGGGGGGGCGTGAGTGGAAGTTAAATGAGGTGGCACCTTCCTTCTGCTGGATGCTGTGAGGCCTTCACCCACAGTTAATTCCACTTGCTGGCTTTAACTAAAGAAAACAATTACACGAATGAGGAAAGACATCTGCACTGATGTCTAGTTTAACATTTATAAAACAGAAAAGAGCTGTCTGTCACCTGGCTTTGTGCATGCAAGTGTGCGAGGCCCTGCAAAAAAGGAAAAAGAACCCAAAATATCCAAGAGGAATAGATGATAACAAGTGTGTGTGTGTGGTGTGGCGTGCGCTTACACTCGGGGCGCCTCAGGCGCAGCCATCGAGGGCGATGGTGGGGAATCCTTCATGTGCAGGCTGTGCACCGCACGTCTCTGAGGAAAGTTACAAGAGAATACATGAGATGCAAATTATCCCCCTTAAAAACAGTGTATGCATGAAACCAGCCCAGGCCTGTAATCCTAGCTACTCAGGAGGCCGAGATCTGAGGATCACAGTTCAAAGCCAGCCTAGCTAGGAACATCCATGAGAATCTTAGCTCCAGTTAACCACCAGAGAACTGGAAGTGGTGCTGTGGCTCAAGTGGTAGAGCTGGCCTTGAGCTGAAGAGCTGAGGGACAGTGCCCAGGCCCAGAGTTCAAGCTCTATGACCAGCCCCAAAAAAGTATATGCATGAAGCTAAAAGTAGAAAGTTCTACCTGAAATGTTAACAGTGGTTATGACTGGGTCTTAAATTTTTTTGATAAGGGAAGACCATGATTTACGTGGTGTGTGTGTGTGCATGCATGCACACTGGCCCTGAGGCTTGAATTCAGGGCCTGGGCAATGTCCCTGAGCTTCTTTTGTTCAAGGCTGCGACTTGAGCCACAGTTCCATTTCCAGGTTTTTTTGGTGATTAATTGGAGATAAGAATCTGGGGGGCTGGGAAGGTGGCTCAGTGGTAGAGTGCTTGCCTTGCATTCCTGAGGCCCTGGGTTCGATTCCTCAGCACCACATAAGCAAAAAGAAAAAA